AAAAAAAAAAAAAAAAAAATAAGTTTATAAAAGACTGGTACAAGATGCATAATAGTTTGTCGAAAGAAGACTTTGAATTTGAATGGAAGCAGCTTATAAGTAAATATCTAACAACACAATCTTATCTTGAACGAACACTCTATAATACCAAAGAATGTTGGGCGTTGGCCTGGATTTCAAATATATTTACTGCTGGAGCTCAATCTACACAAAGAGTAGAAGGTATGAATGCAATTATCAAATCTCACATAACAAGCAAAGCTACTTTATCCAAACTTGCTAGTGTTTTAGACTCTCATCTTGCTCAGGAATCGATGTATATTTGTTATAATAATTGGTCTATAACTTATGTTAAACCTACATATACAGTCGCATCGGCTCAGTTATTGCCTGAAGTTGACAAGTAGCTTGCTAAATTTTTAACACCACCTGTTTTGTTTTTACAAAGAATTGAAATAGCGGAAGCTCTTTGGTACAATGCAATATTAGTTTCTAAAGAAAATATTAATCTTAGTCTGTTACAAGAGAAAAGTGAGATTAACTTTTATGAGGATCTTGATGACTTTTCAGCAACAAATATCAATGAAATTACCGCAAATTTTTCTACTTTATCTATTTATGAAATTTGGAAGACTACTCATTACAGAGCATTTTACAAAAACTATGTCATTATATTCAAAAATGGCAATCATATTTGTACTTGTTTGTGACTTATTAATCAGGGTCTTATTTGCCATCACTTTGCGAAAGTTATGACAATCTCTCAGTCTGCAGTTTTTCATATTCTTGTGATTGCGCGACGTTGGTATTTGGATGAATATTATTCAAAATCAGATGAGTCATTAAGATCACAACCATCAATTACTTACAATAATGGGAGCATTATTCAAACTTCAGATTTAATGCCAAATTCAACTATTATATACTCAGATTTTAATATTTCTTTTAACATATCAGAGACACTTAATAATCGTCATACATATGGAACTACAAACGGTCTCTATAAGAAAGCTATAAATGTTGAATTGGATGCTGGCTCTATTGCAATAGAAACGCTTAATAAGTTGCTAGAAAATTTTATTCAACAATATTCTGTTAATTCTAATCAGAACTTAATTACTAACATTACTTCAAGAGAAACTCAAGATAATGAATTAAGTGATCCAGATGACAATCAAGATGGTATACCATTTGATGTATCTACTGTTCAAGATCCAGCAACCAAAAGAAAAAGAGGTGCACCAAGGGTTAAGCATATTAAAAGTTCTCTTGAAACAAGGAATGCACAATCGAGTATTAAGAAAGATAAAGCTATACGCCTTTGTTCTCGCTGTAAGCAGCCCAATCACTATGCTAAAACCTGCACTGTTGATCCTTAATTATATGATTCATAAGGTGAGTTACCTAGTTATTATGTAACTTGCATAGATAATCGATAGCTAATTGCATTATTTAATTGTATGATCGCTGAGTATTGCTAAGAGAAAACCTTGAACCGGAAATAATAAACTATTATTTCCATTCAAGGTTTTCCTTTAGCGGCACTCATATATTAGTTAACAATTTTTGAAGTATATATTGGTTAACAATTTTAGCTTTTGTATTCAGGTTTAATTATGCACGATATTATGAGAATTAAGGAGAGAAAAAGATCAAATTGAATTGTTGCTTTATTATGAGATATAAACATTAATAAAGATGTTATGCTATCCTTAACTATGCTGTATAACAATAATATGCATATGTGTTTTGTAAGATGTATATAAACGTGCAATCTTGTCAAAAAGTTATATTTCGCTTGTAATACTGATCAGTGTTAAATATAACTTTATTTGATTCTTGGGCATATATGTAGGTGTTTAAAACCGCTTTAGAGAATTGAAGCACCTTGTGATATATTCGTAGTAATTATATCACATGATTGATCATTCGGCCTAAGTTAGAGTTAGTATTAGGGTTAGGTGATAGTTTAGTTTAGGCCAATAGTGCTAGTAAACAATGATGTCATTGTTCACATAATGTAATAATTACGGATATGATCTAACATAATTAATATAATTAAACCTGATTCCGGGTTTGTAATACAGTATATAAAACTTAACTATTATATATATATTGTGTAATATTACTTGCATAAATGTAACAAATACTAATATGTTATACATGGTTACAATAACCGTGGTTACAAATTTATTAACCCAAAAATCTTATTCAAATATTCGAATATTCAGTGAATATTCGAATATACTATTCATTGGATCAGACCTCTACTTATGAGCTCCCAAGTTGGTGTATCTGCAAATATGATCTACTGCAAATTTCCTTTCAGATTCTATTAGTGCAACTATAATTGGTACAGATTGGCCTTTCTATAGCCCGTATCTCAAGCCAAAATCTTGCAGTCTAGTTAGGTTCATCACATAACTGAGTTGGTATTATATTAACGGATTACTCTATATTTATTTACAAATAAATCCTCTTACTTATCAGCCCAGGCACTACTAACCCGTATCTCAAGCCAAGTTTCTGCTGCTACCGCTGGTTTGCCAATCTTAGGACTTAATGTTCTTTTTCTGGTATAGTGGTACTAGCATAACCTGTTTGTACTTCCTTATATAGTATTTTATCAGAACCTTATTTCGTGTATACACACTTCTAACTATATGCCTTGCATCATGTTACTAAGAGGCAATGCCCCAATTCACCTTGACTTCCAACTTGATCTTTTCATTAGTTGGTGTTGTATTATTGTTGGTGTATTCTGGCTTCTTTCGTCATTGACTTCTATATAGATATGACTAGAGCTCTGACTTGGTGCCTTTAGACGTACTAGATTAGCTAGCCTGTCTCTATGAAATTACCTTTAGTTAGTTGTTCTACGGTGCCAGAGATGCTTCCAATTCAGATAAGACCAATCCTTTATTACAGCCTTTTCACATGTTTACCACTTCTCTCACCATTCAAATTTTGGTAGTATTGTATTACACTTCTAAGCAAGTACCCAATACCATTCTATATTGGGACTTATACGTACAATCTGTTAATCATCCTTCCAAGCAAGTACCTACAAGTTGGCTGCAGGGATGTTGGTATTGCTGAATACAGAGATAATAGGATGTTGGTATTGCTTCTTTAGTCACCCCAACCAGAGGACTTATTCACGTAATCTTCTACAACCTAGACCTTCTGTAATGCCGCTATCATACATAGTATCTGCACTCTATGATCGGAGCTTCTTCCGAAAATTCCTATTCCAGAACTGTACTTGCACTTGGACTTTCCACAGGGCTTTGTATCTGATTATAGCTCTATAAGGTTACAGTAACAAATTCAAAATTTGCCACCAGCCCGACTCAAATTGTTAACCTTGTCTGTAGAGGTTTGAGAGCTTAACTAATAAGCTATAGGGCCCAAACCCTTATTTTTTATATATATAATTAACAATTAAATCAATTCTAAATATAATTTTAGTTTGATATGATCTTTTTGTTAATAAATTAAAAAAGAATATTATATATATATATACTGCATATAATTCTATCTATTTACTTCTTAAATTATTTTATATGTATGTGTATATATCAATTGTATACAAAATTTGGTATTCATTTTGTAAATAACTTTAAAGAATACAATTTAGAATCAATTTAGGACCAATTCTGTAAATCTGTTAATATGTTGCTTTTAGTAAAGTTACATTCTACTTCCATATTGCTATAATCTTGCAACAAAGCTCTATAGCTATATACTTTGTTACTTGTGCTGTATTAAGAAGGCTATAGTCTACTTGTAACAATTTGGTATCTTTTGGTAAAAAAAAAAATTTTTTTCAAAATTTTTGCCAATTTATAAGAAAACTCTGCTATGTTAAATTAAAAATTCTTGCTCTCTAAAAGAAACCCTTTCTCTTAGAAAAGACCTCTTGTTAGATTAATCTTTAAAAGAATTTTATTTATGATTCCTTCTCCCCTGCTATTACCAGAAACAGTAATAGTTTCTTTTAAAAGTTTTGACAAATTGAAAGAGATTTGCTTAGAAGGGTATATTGGAAGTCTCTGCTTTCATACAACTATTGGAAGTCCTGATAAATTGAAAGAGATTTACTCAGAAAGATATACTTGAAGTCTCTGTTTTTATAGCAACTATTAGAGCTAGCAGCTTATTGCAAATCTTAATTAAGAATTAAGTACAGATTATATAAATTATATATAAGCCAAAGTATAGATATAAGTAATTCCACTCAGGATTAAAATTTTAAATACAACCAGAACCAGATGATTCTTAAATATCACAACTCAAAGATTGCTTATAGTATTATATGCATCAAGCCTACCAATTGTATTTGGAATATATACGAAGATATGAACTAGCATATCAAGATAATAGCTTTGTAAACAATATCCTCCAAGTACTTGCTCTTGACAATTCTTGTTGATATTGTTTTACTATTACTACATATTATTATGCTTTCTATAGTTTTTGGCTATAGTATTAGCAAGTCTTTGCTGCAACTTTTTATATCTAGATAATAGTCATAGCTTATTTTGAATTAAAAAATTACTCTAACTATAGTATTGCTTAAGTTTTAGTTAGAAATATTATTTTTAGTTGTCGATATAGAATTTTATTTGACAATCCTAACAAATAGCAGCTATTTTCTTAGCTAATTATATTAAATATCAACTTGCTTCTTATTTATTTACAGGTTTTCCCACTAACAAATTTGACCCTTATATTGAAAACTCTAATTATTCTTTCCAAATATATTCTATTACTGATATTACTAAAGCTTTAAGAGATTTTGGTTCATCTGTAGCTTTGACATTCCAAAGTAAAGTTAATAATTTCTATTTTGCAACTTTATCTAACTTATATTTTACTAACCTTTACAATCTGAAAAAATAAAAAATATCTTTACTGAATCTCTCTCTGTTCTCTCTGACTATAATAAAAATACTTCTTAAATTTAATTTTCTTCTTGAATTAATACCTTTAATCTACTCTTTGCTAATATTAATTTACAATTCACTCTTATCCTCCCCGTACTGCAACTAACTCTTCTTGAGCTCAACCTAATCCATTTATTCAATTTATTAATTATATTATACCTACTAATACATCTACTATTACTATTAATCCTCTTGTATCTAAAGCTTACCTACAAGCTGATTTAGATCTTAATATTACTCCTTTAAATACTTTCTTTCAACTCCAATAACAACCTCCCACTACACCAATATTAGAAGTATCTCTTAATCAAGATTCTAACCTTATTTTTGATTTATCAGAAGAAGAAAAAAAAAAAGTTAACAATCAAGCTTCTAAAGCTAAAATCAATTCTACTATAATTGACAAAGAACCAAAACAAGAAAACAATATAGCTAATACTGCTTTTAGAGCTGCTGCTAAAGCAATAAATGCTGTTGCTAATGCTAGAGTTGCTTGCCATAATTAATTACAACTTTTATAATATATAGGTTGCAATATTACAACATATAGATTGTAATATTACAACTTGTTAAAAACAATTATAGCAGGCAACTCTAGCTAATGCTTTAGGATATAGTAGTGAAAAATCTTTTATTAAAATAAATTTTTTATCATAATAATAAAATTCAAGACTCTATAATTTGGTTAAAAGAATTTGATTAAGCTACCAAAACCAACTATTGGAGTCCTGCTTGATAATTAAAATTAGCCACTACATATATAAAGAACAATGCTCAAGAATATTTTATTAGCCTTGCTTATGCCTCTACCCACTATCATCATGATCACTATAACCAAAATGTAGTAGTAATTATGTTTGAAGTTTTATCTACATGTTTAAAGAAAGTTTAGTATAACTAGACAAAAAGCTATATAGCAAAAGCAGCTTTTTGAAATAAAACAGGAAACAGATATAGTTGATACCTATGTTAGTCACTTTAAACAACTTCAGCTTCAAGTAGATCTTGCTAATAGTATCTCTGGAGCTATGATAGTTCAATTTTTTATCCAAGAATTATGACCAAAATATACTATGAATATGCAGACTACTAAACCTAATAATTTGAATTATATTATAGAAGAGGTTTACAAATAAAAAACTGGATGAGTTATAGCTTTTGAAAAAATACTAATAGCAATAATAATAACCAAGCTATTGCTTTTCTTACTGAACAAATTGTCAAGCTTAATATCAATCTTATCAAAAAACAACCTGCTACAGTCAAACCTCTCTAAGTGCACGCCCTTGGGACCACACTTTAACAACATGCATTTAGAGAATAATAAGAAAAAGTGCATTTATAGAGGTCAAGTATATATTTGGGCCAGAATCTGAGCGTGCATTTAGAGAGGGTGTGTACTTATAGAGGGTGCACTTAGAGAGGTCTGA